CAGTTGGGAAAAGGATATTTAGAGAATGGTAGAGGGAGAGCTAACTCATTTATAGTGGGAGGCTATGTAGCCTAGTAGTTAGGCCCACACTCTCTGGACCCAGACTACCTAGGCTCAAATCCCAGGTCCACCACTAAGTAGCTGTATGACCACGGAAAGGTTACTGAATTTCTCAGTTTCTTCATCTGTAAAACCGGAATAACAGTAGTACCTACCTCATAGGTTTTCTGTCAGCATTAAAGGAATTGATACATGCATGTAATATGCATAAAGCAGTGTCTGGCCAGAGGAGGTGCTTAATAAATGCGAGTTATTACTCTTCTTAAAACACTACCTGGTGTGCCAACAAGACCAGAAAAATTCAGGAGAACTGACACCACAAGTGTTCTACATTATTTTCCTTATGAGAAAATCCAATACATTTACACTTTGACTGTGGAATGTGTGTGTGTTTTGGCTAAAACAAGAAAGAAGGTCCTAAAATGAAGATGGGAAGAGAGGGGCTTTCATATAAGGAGAGAAAATAGATTGGGCTCTGGTCTAGAAAAATGAAGACTGCGATGCACTATGATGAATTTTATGAAGGGCAGGAATAGCATGAATAATAACTTGTTTATGAAATACTGGAAAATTAGAACTGGCGTGACCGACGAATACTTTGAGGTGAATACTTGAACAGATGGTTCCTTGACTGAGCTTGCACAGTGAGTCCTTTAGTTCTGGAGCTCGCTAGCTCAGGAGTTTCAAAGCAATTTGCGTGAAGGGTATGTGTCATGGTCTCTTAGCTCTCAAGGGTAGTTAGGGGTGTTTGTGACAGAGCCCCGGTTTAGTCCAGATCAGCATTCGTAAATATATTAACGCAGTACTTAGCCATTTCAAAAACACTCAGCAATGTTAATTCATTTGATTACCATGACAGTGACTTGCTGAGTTTATATGGTGGGCAAGGCTCTGCAGGAAATTAAAAGATGAGAAAGATGACTCGTGTTCAAGGTTCTGATCTGTATAGCCACCCAGAAACACTGTAGTTAATTTAATTTAATTTGAGGGCTTAATATATTTGCTTCACTTTTACTTACCGTCTTTTGAGACTGGAGAACTTTTAGTTACTTTTTGAGCTCTGGATTGGTATTTTGAAAAAAACTAAAGAAAAAAAGTTCACTTTTTGTCATTGTTTTATTTTCATAAATTCTACCCAGGCAACAGACACTGTAATGGCAGTGGAACAGCTTATTATATTTATTTTTTGAGTATTCATAAAGCCATTTTCGAGCTAGCTAAAAGTTAATTTGGAGATCATCTCCAGGTCTTCATTTCACAGCTGAAGGAGAAGGGCCCTTTAGGAGACATGCACAAGGTGGCAAAGCTTGGGCTGAAGCCCAAGTTCTAGTCTCCTGTGTTTCCTTTCCCATCATGCCGCTTCCGCCAGAGGATCAATCAGGCTTATTGTAGTTGAGCTTATTTCTGTGTACACACAGGCTCAGATGTGTTATGCTTTACCTTGGGGCACCCAGAAGCAGATTTACTAGGAAGCCAGTGAAGCTTAATCATCAAGGCCCCTCACTTGTATGAGTGGGGAGAGGAAGCAAGGGTGCAATCAGGAAACAGTCCTGTATAAGCATTTCTGATCAATGACCTAATGAGGTCATGTAAGAGGTGGACTTGATTTTCCAAGGCTTCAGTAATTTGTTGTGATTTTTCACATTCTAAAAAAAAAGCAGCAAAGAAAAAAGAAACTCACTTTTTTTTTTTAAAGATTTTATTGGGTAATTGGGGGGAAGGGAACAGCGTTGGGGAATTGGGGAAGGGGAACAGACAGGTAGACAAATTTCTGTTTTGTTCTTCAGTCCAGTTGTGGAGGATGTCGCTTCACTGGCCCATGTTGGTATGATCACTGTGTTCTTCCCAGGTGAGGCAATTGGTCGCCAGTCGTTGGTCAGCCGCTCACAGCGGCTCCCGGTAGCTCACACCGGCTACCAGCCTCTCAATGCTGGCTGCCGGCCACTCACGTAGCTCACGGCAGCCCACTGCAGCCCTGCTGCAGACTACGCTGTCGCTGGTGACTCACGGCAGCCCAGCTTCAGGTCGAGCTGTTGTTCATCATCTTAGCTGTAGAGGGCGAGCGTCACTGGCCCTCAATGTGGGATCTGAACTGCAGCCCTGCTGCTCAGAGCTCCCAAGCGAGCTCTTAACCAGCTGAGCCACTCGGCAGGCCCAAGAAACTCACTTTTGTACTTACTTTCTATTTGTAATTTTATATTCTTTTTCTTAAAGAAGTGCCCTCCCCCTGCTCCAAGATTATATAAATTTCAGGCTCCATGAAACCTGGATGTTTCTGATGCCCAAAGGTAGAATCAGTTGGGAATTTCATTTTAATATTTCAGATTTTTATTTTTAAATTAATTTTTATAAAAAATTTGAATACATGTAAATTACCTCAATTTTTATATTTTAAGTTAATTTTAATTTTTATTATAGTAATAAAATAAAGTTGTGTTAAAACATTTAAAAAATGGTAACTCCTTGCCTCATCCTTCCCCACCTCTTAGTTTTGCTCTCCAGTCAACCACTTTTAATCCCTTTACGTTTTCCCCGTTTACCTTTATAGTGTTTCTTAATAGCTTGCTTTCATAATTGATCAGTTTTAGATCAATTTATAATGATATAAAGTTTTATATCAATAATACAATGGCATTATATTATTCTATTAATTATATATTGACTTCCTGTGACGGTAGTTAAGGTTTTAACATTGTTACTCCAAACATTCATTTTCTCACCTCTCATTGCCCCAAAATAATTAAATCACAATTTTTTGTTACCTCAGTTATCACTGTTTATGTTTTGATGACTGTGTAAATATTATTTACAGCAAAAGCAAGTAGTATCCTGTGGTATCCTTTCTTATACAACTTTTTGTTTGTCCTAGAGTTAATAATAATCTTATTTTCTTTTGCTTAATTTTCTGTTATCTATCTGAAACAATACCTTCCCTTTCTTTTCATATAGCTTTTTGTTCACAGAGTTCAGAATAGCTTTGTTTCTACTTAATTCTCTATGTTTCTAGCCAAATACATCACCAGAACTATCAAGCATCTATCTTCTCATTATTATTTGTGGAAGTGGTCAAACATATCAGATAATCTGCCAATCTTCCACCCCACCTTTTTCCCCCCAGAGACCTCCTGCTATCCTCCTACTTCAGGATGGAGTGAATTTTTTTCTAGTATCAGAAAATTTCATGTGACAAGCCTTTAGTGAAGATGTTTGGTGAGGATGACACTCAGTGGACCCCTTCTAAGTCCTAAGGAATTGTCTACTCATTATAAGCAATTTTATATAAGCAAGTTTTGAAAGTGTATTTTACATACCTAGTACCATACAAGGACTGCCTTCATTTTTTTAGTTGACTAGGTTTACATAGTAGGGTGAAGCAAATGCTTCTGATAATGGATAAAGTTCATATTTAGATGCCTGAAATGCCTAGTGATTAAAAGTAGAATTTGCTAACATAATTCAACTCCTGTTTTTTGACATATATTAACCATAGGATGAATTACATTAATTTTGAATCCCAGATAATTATTAAGAGTATATTCCCAGACTATTTCTTGTTAGTCTCAAACTCATAAGGGCACTTGCCACTATGAAAATGAATTTTTAATTTATAGAAGTTAAATATAATTTAAAACACATGATATATTTTAAAAGCATGGTGCAAAATTTGTTTTACATACTATTTTTTGTTAGTTGCATTAGAAGCATTTCACGACAATGGGGGAGTTAACTATACTAGTTCTAGTGAGAGCTTTTCCCCCAATACTTGATATATGCAGAATATTTGATTAATTCTTACTGTGTACTACAAAATAGGCCCACAGCATTGTTTTACTCTACTGAATAGACATTAAGGCCATTGCAACTAGTGATTACGTTTTATGAGGACTTCCTGTTATCAGATAATTTATTCCACTGTAAAGCAGGATTTGTGTTATCCTAGATAATCCACTACATAAATCAAGGAGGGCGCCGATTCTTTAGAGAAGGAAAATTTTTTTTTCAGTGTGTTTCCATGTATTTTAATCCCATTCCTTTTTGAGACTGTTGTAATTCAAGTGGTATACTATTCAGTTGAATTCTTGTAGAACATAGCTCTCTATAGTTTCATTTGATTTATTTTATTTCCTGAGAACAACCCTGGAAGAAAAAAAAATGTTTTTAAATCCTTAAGATCTTGGTTGAAACACTCAGCTCTGATAACCTTTACAAGCAGAGATTAAATGTGTTTTATCAGATCCTCCTCCCAGAATGCACTGCTATTGGAATGCCCCTGGCCTCTGTCTAGACCTGTAGTTTTGAAGCAACTAAGCATCTCAGGATACACCACCCTGTCACCCTTCCTTTTCTGTCTTCAGTGGTATTGTCTGCTGAAAGTTGTGGACAGACATAAAAGTGGTGAATCCCCAGGGGCAGGTATAGTCTGCCCTGTTTGCCTGAGATTTTTTTTTTTCCCCCAGTTAAGGAATTAGGTGGTAATGGGGTTCACACTAAAGAGTGGTGGGAACAGAGAAACACCTATTGGAGATTATGGCAGGATTCCTGGCTGTTTATCAAAGAGCTGGTTGCCTACTTCCCTGCCTGATATTCTAAGACTTACAAAATCGAAGGTGCTTTTCTAGTATCTCCATTTCAGCTCAAGTTACTTCAATGTGTAGAGAGAGCGTTGGTTAATTTGGTGCAGTAATTCACGTCCATCAGCATTGTGGGACTTTTCCCTGGATTTTAATATGAGGGATTGATTCTAAACTTATTCTCTAGGGATGCTGTACATTTCTCCTGCAATTTTGGATACTTTAAAATGAACTATTTTGTTATTTGGGTGCTTTGGGTAAGGGGTTTCCGGGCACTTGTATTTGTATTGTATTAACTGGAAGCTTACTGAAAAATAAATGTGTTTACTCAGTCAACTGACTATGAAAGCCTTTGGTTTGTTTCATCAGCTGGATTCAACATCACTTCTCTCTGAGGAACAGTTAAGGTGTCTTCTGGATGAATGCACATTTCAACAAAAATCCATGATTATGCTTTCTTCAGAAAGAGAGAAGAAAGACATTGAGGATATAACACCTGAGTTCCCCCAGCTGTCCAGATCTATGCTCTCTGAGTTACTAACTGGGTCAGAAACAAAGGTCAGAAGCAATGAGATGGAAGACGCAACTATGCCTGAGAATTTAAAATGTGAACCATCTACAGGCTACTACCTCACCAAAGCCTTGACTGGGCATTACATGTCACAGGCTCTTGTCACCGAAGCTGAGAATATGGAATGCTTCCAGTTTTCCGACGATGAGGTTATTAGTGATACAAAAGACTATTTTATGTCGAAGACTCTTGGAATTGGAAGACTGAAAAGGCCTTCTTTCTTGGATGATCCACTGTATGGCATCAATGTGAGTCTTTCATCCGAAGACCAACATCTGAGACTCAGCCCTTCAGAGAAACCAAAAACAGGTAAGCCTTGGAGAATGTGTGTTTCGGTGAATAATTCTTATTAAGCACTCAATGTAAAGGTATTATAGTTTAAAGTTGAGTAGGATATAGAAGTATGTTTGTGAGTCACAGATGATGTTGATTAAGAGTATGCAAACGTAAGAATATATTTATCAGTATTCTGTGAGATCAAGGTTGAGATTAGTACTCTTATGAAATACATTATTCTTAATGGTAAGTCATATATATTCTTTTAAAAAATTGAGATAAAATTGGTATATAATTTCATGTTTCAGGTATATAATATTATAATTCAACATCTGCATACACTACAAAGTGATCACCACCAAAAGTCTAGTTACCATCCTTCACCATACAATTGTCCCCCTTTACTCTTTTCACCTACCCCTAATCCCCTTCCCCTCTGGTAGCCACCAATGTGTTCTCTGTATCTGTGAGTTTGTTTTTAATTTGTTTTATTTGTTCATTTGTTTGTTTTTTTAGATTCCATATGAGTGAAATCATATGGTATTTGTCTTTGTCCATCCAATTTATTTCACTTAGCATGATGCCCTCTAGGTCCATCCATGTTGTCACAAATAACAAGATTCCATTCTTTTTTAATGGCTAAATAATATTCCATTATATGTATATGTGTGTGTGTACATCCATATGTACACACACACACACACACATATGTACACACACACACAATTTTATCCATTCATCAACTGATGGACACTTAGGTCAATACATTCTTGATGGTTATCCAGAAACCAATATTAATTTCAGAGGAAAAGAGAAATTAGTTTGAATGGATACAAGTAATTTGAATAAATTTGTTTAGTATTTTAACTTCCCAGCTTCAGTGATGAAAATTTGTTGTAAGGAATGAATTCATAAAATGCCATATATCGTTGTGGTTTTATTACTTTCTGTATGCACACTTCCCATCTCAGCTACTTGTATAGTCTCAGGTATTTGGTCTTGATCTAATGTTGCATCTTAAAATGGTACAATGATACAGGATACACATACTATGGGCAGTTTTTGACATAAATATTCAATTATTTATCTATGTTAGAAGTCTAACATAGTCTGTGTTGTATTTGATGAATCTACTTAAAAAGCTCCTACTTTTCCTCTAATGTAGATTACTCTAAAATATATTGTCTGTTAAAGCTGTATCTATATATTACTTATTAAATCTATCTATTAATTCTGAACTAACTCCTCAGTCCTGTATTTCTACCTGCCTGTTAGATAACTCCTCCTGGATATGACCTCAAACTGAATGCCTCGTCTTTCTCTCTCAACTCAGAGTTTCCTCTTGACCTCTGTTCCCTCAATTGCCCAGGCTCAAACTCTGAGTCATCTTTGCATCTTCCCTCTCCCCTGCTTCCCACTTTCCATCTGCAAATACCACTTGTCTACTCCTGCAGTGTCTCCTATGTCCATCCCTTCCTGGCTCTTCCTACTGCCTCAGCTGGACCAAGGTGATGACCCTCTGTTTAGGCCTCCCTGCCTCTGGTCTCCCCCTTCCTCCTGCCATTGTCAACCACCATGAGACGAATTCCCCCAAAGTACAGTTTTGATAACCACGCTTCCCTGCTCAAAAAGCTTCACTGGCCCTCCATTGCCTGTTGAGTGGAATCTGGATTCTTTCACTTGCTGTTCAAAGCCTCCAAAGGTGACCTGAAGCTCTCTTCCTGATCAATCTCTAGTCCCCTAAATGTTCTTCAGATTACAGCTGACCTGGTCTCAGGATTGCCAGTGCGTTCCGATGTCTCTGCCATTTCTAGGCCCTTTTCTTCTCGGGAATGTTCAGGTACCCCTTTGATGGTGGTTGAATTCCAACCTCATCCATTCTGAGTACAGCCTTCCCTGGTCCCCTCTTTTAAGCACTTTCTTTTTCCTCAGAATGTCCCACAGCATTTGTCCCCTATCAGGTCATTTTACCTACACTTTCTTTACCTTGTTATGCACACACACATCTTTTCTTCCTTAAAATGGTATAACTGCTTTGAGGACAGAGATCCTATGTTCTGATTCATTGTTGCATCGTCTATGATGTCCAGTGCTGCCTTAAACCAGGTGTCTGTTTAATAAGTGAAAGAATTTAAATTATTCAGTTTTAGAATAATATACTGAAAATATGGTTCCCATTTATTCTTCACATTGTGAATGAAAGCAGGAGGTATCACAAAGAATTATGTAAGCCTCACATTCCTTTTTTTTTTTTTTACAGATTTTATTGGGGAATTGGGGAAGGGGAACAGACAGGTAGACAAATTGCTGTTTTTTGTTCTTCAGTCTAGTTGCGAAGGATGTCGCTTCACTGGCCCATGTTGGTATGATCATTGTGCTCATCCCGGGTGAGGCGATCGGTCGCCGGTCAGCCGGTCATTGGTCGGCCGCTCACAGTGGCTCCCGGCAGCTCACGCTGGCTGCCAGCCACTCACGTAGCTCACGGCAGCCCACTGCAGGCCTGCTGCAGCCTACGCTGCCGCCGGGGACTCATGGCAGCCCAGCTCCAGGTCGAGCAGTTGTTCGTCATCTTAGCTGTAGAGGGCAAGCGTCACTGGCCCTCAATGTGGGATCCGAACCGCAGCCCTGCTGCTCAAAGCTGGTGCTCTCAAGCGAGCTTTTAACCAACTGAGCCACTTGGCCGGCCCAAGCCTCACATTCTACATAAAGATTTGGAACTTTTTTCTTTTTTTAATGAAATTTCACAAGCTGTATAGTTTTTATCCAGCAGCAGAATTCACTTACAATGTGCAGTTCAATTATGGGTGGGTGTGGCATGAATGACTTCCCCCACCAAAGATCATCATGTAATAAATAAATGAAAGAACAAAATATGAAAATGTTGTTCTACTCTAAAATTGCAGTGTATTTTCTCTATTTTTGGACAAAAGGTTTTTATTAGAAAGTGTCTGCATCTTCTCTTTGTTTACCTCAATCAAACTTACTAAATTGGATATGATGATTTGTTGTCTTATGAGGTCTCATTCCTGTGGGATCAATGTGTGTGTGTGTGTGTGTGTGTGTGT